AGTCTCTTGAAGGAGAGACGAAACGTTTCACTAAAGAAGAACCATCCAGAGGACCTACTGATTTTTTTTTTAGATTTTTCTGCCTGGATTACTGAGAAGCATCAGGACATACCTGGTCAGAGTTAGATCCACCTGACTTTTGTAGCGTCGAATCGGCTCGCTGACGCTCGGCAGAGCAACACTGTACCTGCTTCTGCTTCTCAAAGTGTGAAATGTTTGTGGAGCACTGAATGATAAAGAGCCTTCATGAAGCTGTGGAGCTCTGTATGAAACAGTGTTCACGTGAACCTGTGGAGCTGTCAGGTTAYTGTTTGGGCTCTGATACGTGGAGGAGATGGTGCTTTTTATCTTCTCCCAAACGGTGAAGGGCAGCTTGTTCAGGTGTTTCTCCACATCAATCAGTGCCTCGGGGGTGTGGTCTGTTAATGCTGGGTTGAAAAGTTGGACTCTTGTTGCTGAACTTGGGTAATTTTGCAGGAAGGCGATGTCTTTGGCTTTCAGCTCCTCCTCCGTGGAGCTGATGGTGTCGGTCAGAGCTGTGATTTCTCTGTTCACAGCTTCACGCTTCGTCCTCAGACTCTGGTTCTTCTGCTGCTTCTCTGCTCTCAGAGCAGAAAGTCGAGCCTCCTCCTCTCTTTGTAAGAATGTCTGAAGTGTTGAGAAGACATCTTTAATCTGCCTCTCTGTGTCGATAAACTGCAGTTCAATGTTCAGTAAAGCTTGGTTATAATTTTCTCCAGCAACAGATAAGAGCTCCTTCTTCTCCTGAATGGGTCTCAGGTGGTCCTGAAGCATGAATCTGTAGTCTGCTGCAGCTTCTTCGAGGGGTCTGAAGCTGTGGTCCCTGTGCCATCCTGAGTAGCGACAGATGAAACAAACAGGCTGCTGGTCGTTTAAACAGAACAGTTTGAGTTTCTCACCGTGAAGGCTGCAGAGCTCTGAAGGAGCTGCAGAACTCCTCTCACTTCTCTCTTTAGAAAAAGCTTCACACACGTTTCTTAGAGCCAAGTTCTGAGGTGGGTCTTGTGACAGGCATGTCCTCCTGCAGACCGGACAGTCCGGGTTTGGTTTCTGGTTCCTCCATTGCTGCCAACAGGCTGCACATAAACTGTGGCTGCACGGCAGCAGGACCGGGTTTTGGTAGATGTCATGGCAGACGGGACAGGAGATGTTYTTCTCTGGCCAAGAAGACATTTGTGCCTGAAGGTCTTCAACAGTCTTCTTTCTTTATAGAGCTCTGCAGAGTCCTGATCCACTGCATGCTCTTTTATAAAGTAGACCATCATTACTTCCTGTTTGTCTTGTTCATTTCTGGTAAGTGAAAACCCCTGATCCATAAACCATAAACAGGTGTGATAACAAGAACCATTGTACCTGATGAGGACTTTAGACCTGAAATCTTATCTGAAGGGGACATGGTTGGCATGTGGTCCAACTCAATAATGCAGGCAGGAGTGAGGAACTGATAAATAAGTATATTTGTTAAAAGAAAAAGCCAACATGGTGGCACTCTACAAAAGAACAAACTACAGGYACTCAAAGGGAGACAAGCAAGGCGTGACCTTACAATGAATGGACAAGGAGGGGACAAGAYACATTAAAAACAAAATGAGTGACGGAGGCCAACATCATGGGGGGAGACTGATTACAAACAACTGAGAGGTGAGAGTGGTGGAGTGGGACAGTAGTGAAACACTGACTGAAAACACAGAGGACCCCAAACTAATAAAACCGATGAACCAGGATAGACCGTAGAAACCAAACTAATAGACCAGTAAAGACCGGTGAAACCAGACAGATAAACCTGGATAGACCATAAAGACCAGACCCATAGACCTGGATAGGTCGTAATAACCAGACCAACAGACCTAGATACGCTGTAGAAACCAGACCGCTAGACCGTAAAAACCAGTTCGATAGACCCAGACAGGCCATAGAAACCAGAACAATTGACCTGGATTGGTCGTAGAAACCAAACTGACAGACCATAGAAACCAGTTTGATYGACCTTATAAACCAGTCCGATAGACTTGGAAAGACCTAGAAACCAGACCAATAGACCAGTCCAGATTGTAGAAACCAGACCAATAGACTGTAGAATCCAGACCAATAGACCTGGCCAGACCGTAACAACTAGACCAATAGATCTGAACAGGCTGTAGAAAAATGACCGACAGACCTGGCCAGGCCATAGAAACCAGATCGATTGACCTGGGCAGACTGTAGAGACCAGAGAGATAGACCTGGCCAGGCCATAGAGACCAGATCGTTATACTTGGATAGTCCATAAAGACCAGACCGATAGGCAATAGAAACCAGAATGATAGACCTGGATAGACCATAGAAATCAGAACAATTGACCTTGGTTGACCGCAAAAACTAAATGGTTGATACCAGACCGATAGACCAGAGGTGCCCAAAGTAAGGCCRGCGGGCCAAAATTGGCCCGCCAAGCCATTTGATTTGGCCCACCAGTAGTTTTTAAATAGTCTGTCATCTCCTGTAGAAACTCTGTATTTCCATGTACAGTAATGGTAAGACATCCAATGGCCCAATGYCTAAATAAGGGACTGTAGCACAGATAGCTGACTTTGTCACTGAATTATATTAAAATTATGAATAAAATACAAGAAACCAAAGAAGATATTTACATTAGATTTAAGCACACATGTAGATTTGAAAAATTTATGACTACAAATACTCATATTTTATCAATATATGAAATGTCCCATGAGCCTTTGCTGCCTGAGCAAGTGTACAGATTAAAAACACAAACAAACAAAACATGGGCCACTGCACTGGCTCTTGGTTTAATCATAAAAAGTAAAAGCACTTTACTTAAGAAGTATTAGCATTTCCTCTATTATATTATTGCATTTGGCCCGCAGCCTTTGGGTAGATTTTCATTTTGGCCCTCTGAAGGAATAAGTTTGGGCACCCCTGCGATAGACCATAGAAACCAGACTGATAGACAATAGAAACCAGACTTATAGACCATAAAAACACACCAATAGACCTGGATAGACTGTAGAAACCAAAACAATAGACCTGGATAGACTGTAAAGACCAGACCGATAGACCTGGA